TAAAATGTAGAAAATAATATGAAATAAAACTTTTAGTTGGCTGCAAATATTATAAATTTGTACAACCACTTGCCATCCTCCTTTTTTGTAAATATGTACATAATAATATGTAGAAGATAGAAAATAGAAATATTTTCAGAACAAAAAACCGGCGGCCGCAAATTGGAGTTTTTATTATTTTATTACCCTTCTCTTTTCATATGCAATTATGAGATAGCAAGAGAGTGGGATGGACGTATAGGCCGGACAACTCATTATCGTGCACGTGTGCGTGCACCTGGCATTTTCTCGTTTTTTTTTAGGTGAGTTTTGCCGGAATTTGAATGAATGAAATAATTGTACTATTTTTACTATAAACGTATTTCCTGTAGCGACATCTATATGAATATTGTAGTACTTTGTTAGATGAAACGGGACTTCAATTTCCTTCTTAATAAAAAACAATGCATCTTTCTGTGAAATTTCACGTTTTTCTATTCAGTTAGTCGATACGTGTGCAAGTGAACAGGAATCAGATTAGGACTTAGTAGGCAGGGCAGGGATGCTGTTACAAATACGAACAGGGGAAGGAATTTATGGTCAAGTCACATGTCATTAACATGATTATTTCGAGATGTCCAGTTAGGACCTAGAGATAGACCGGCTAGGTCGCAAGTTCACCACGTGCTACCGCCGGAGGATGGAGGGGAGTCAGAATGCCGGTATCTCGTCCAAGTGGCAAGCAAACTTAACGCGAGCGAGCCCATGTCTCGCCAGTTCCACACCAACAGCGACATAGTGTAGTGTTCGGTGTTCTCGACACAACACCCATAACTTTGAGACACATGGCTACACAATAAACGCAATAAAAATGTAAATAGAAAAAAATTGTACAAAAATTCAAAAAAAAATATTTTTAGTTTAGTTTTTATTTTGTTATTTTCTTGTCTTCTAAGTTGTGAAGTGTACACCTCCAAGAGCATTTTCCTTCGATTTGATTTAAAGGAATTAACAGCCATTTGCGAGGTAAGTGACTTTTGCTGTTTTTCAAATTAAAAATTCATTCAGAGCGCTCGACGGAATCCTTGGCTGGACGGCGTGACCTGCCTCAATTGCTCGCTCCGTCTCCAAGGAGCCGTTTCGCACAAGGCTAACCCGTGCGCGGTTCCATCGATCCTTAAAAATTTAGGACTTTAATTTTTAAAAACCACTGTCGATCACCTCAAATTATTTACAGGTTTATTTTAACTGCTTTAAAACTACATCCACTTCTTTCTCAAATAATTTAGTTTCTTTTTTTAATTTAAAAGTACGTCTGCAAAAACAATCGCAAAAAATAGCCGTCGGAAAAGTTCGAAATTAGATGCATTTCTTGACTGATGTGGATGCTTCACATTGAACCTTATGGAACAAATTGTGTAAATATTTTTTTTAAATCAAAGCTGATTCAAAATTTTTCTACTCATACTAAGGATTTTCTCACGGTAACAGAATGTAACATTTTTTCCTTCCTGGCGCTGAAAAAATATATATTTTCGACATTAGAGATGAAAATGAAATAATTATATTTCACTTGACAAATAAATATCTTCAATATGAGTTTTTATTTTAAAAATAATGCGGGCGTTGGTATGAAAGCGAGTAAAAAATTAATAAAAATATGAGTAGAGAAAACAGCATTTCCTGCGCTAGATGAAACACTTTTCCACGTATTTTCAGCTCTTGCACAATCTTAAATCAATATCTTGACATCTTCTAAGTGTTACTTCTTCCAATTATTATGTTACTAGGATTCATAGCAGACTAACAGAAAAACATTGGATAAAAATTAAGTAGGTAAAAAAAGCATGTACAAGAGAAATAATAAAAATATTTTCAGGTGCTTCGACAGCCTTTTTACGCCTAATAATAATCACTAGCCAAATTATGAATTAAATGTGTACTATTTCATTTTATTTGGAGTTTTCATTTACTTTTATTATTTCTAAAAATCACAATGGCTTAAAAAAGTATTAAAATAATCGAAGAGTAACATCGATGAGTAATATAGACGCTTATCACCATCAAAGTTTTTTGATTTAGGGCCGGTTTTCCCAAATGTCAAATAAATTTATTACAGGTAAGGTCAGGTGGGGTAAGTGGGCCCCAAAATTAAAAAAATTCGACTTTGCAAGTTTATAATGTTAATGTTGTAGCACAAGGTACTTGGTTTAACATAAATAATAATAAAGTTTAGAGAAAAATAACGTAAAGTAACATTCTTACTACATGTGGGGCAAGTAGGACACACACTGAGTCTCACTTGCCCTAGATATGGAACAATTTGGGGTAAAAGGGACCTACTGTATTCCCGCACAACTATTTGTAATGTAATAATTTCGTTATGTTCTGTAAAAAATTCACATTTTTTTACCCTAATATCCTTAAGTATGTTTCAATACACGGAGCGCCCACATAATTGAATTAAAACCGACAAACTTTAACATCGAGATAAAATATCATAGTTTTCATTGTTATTAAGAGTGCACCTATTATTTCAAATATGATTTTTGGTCTGAGGTGACACAAGACGGCTTTTCAGAGACTATCACAATTATTTTTAATTAATAGAGTTCTCACTTGCCCCAAATTCCCACTTACCCCACCTGAACTTATAGATTTAATAGACAAATAAATTATTAATCCTATTAGCATTAACTAAACTATAACCATCAATATCACTGTAAAATATTTTAGTTCTTCTGTAATTACGACCAGTAGAAAATTTCGTTGGAATTAAAATTATTGCTGCTTTAACTATATTTTAATAAACAAAACATTCTATGAATTAATGAAAGAATGTTTCTAGATTGCATCATGTCGAATAGGGTTTTCTGACGTGCGTCAACACCCTTAATCAGCTAAAGAATTCGTATCGTTAATTCCCATTTTACACCTGTTGAATCACTTATTCATTACGTGAAAACATTTACTAAATATGGAAAGAGTTCACGTTTAACATGACAAAGACTGGCTATTTGGTGATGAACCAAAACACACACACACACACACACAGACGAAAGAGTTCACGATGAGGCAGGAAACATACACATATTTCCAATACAACAAGATATACAAACATCTGCAGCGTGCTTACGTGCATATTAACTAATTGCTGTTGCATCACTTCTACAAAGAAGCAAATAATGATGGCTATATTCTTACCTGGTATACATCTAAGCCTTGGGGTTTCTAATTTATTTCCGTATTTGTTGTTTAAACTGTTATTTTTCAAATCTGAATTTAGCTTTTTCAATTTGACAATATCCATTTGCCTTTATGCCTATTTAAATTAGCCATAGAAAAATATTTCTATTAAATATATTCGAAAAAGCAATTGAAACATTTTATACACACTTTATTTAAAACTGTACATATGCAATGAAAATGTCCAAGCTTGGCGTGCCGATATAGAATTACGACCGCTTTCTTAGGTCAACGTTACTTTATCAATTATGTTACATTGTTCTCTTCATGTAAAAAAGATAAATATGTTTGTTCAGCTCCAATTCATGCCTGTTGATCTTATCTCGAAATGTGGGTAACTAGGGCCCATGAAAAATTATTGACTAAATATTAAATTCAGTAATTATAGAATTACTTATTGAAAAATAAATGTAAATGCTCTACAATTTTGATGGAGCTACACTTCTATCTCGGTTATATTAAACTGAAACGTTTTGACACAATTAAGAAAAGTTTGTAAGGATATTCACATATGAGTAGATATTCATATAAAAGAGAACTTAAAAAAAACCTAGGCGAATTACTAAAAAAGAAATAATAAAGGTAATAAAAAAGTTGAAAAATGTAAAAAAGGATTTGGTTAAAAGAAATGAAAATAATTATTTATTTGTTTAATATTGTTGCAGGTATTATTTTGTTCCTTCTATTGTCATGTATTTTCTCTTATAAATATTTTCAATAAATTTGAAAATCTTTCTACTAATTTCATAAAAAAGCGTTATAAAAAACAAAAAGTAAAAGAAAATAAAAAAAAACAAACTTTTCTCTCATGAAGCTTAGTTTTCCGGCTACAGGATGTTGATGTGTTGAAGAAGAAAACAAATAAATATATTTTTTAAATAAAAAAGGGGCATCCTGGCTTCAATCTATCAATTAAAAGTTATCCAGATGTCAGTTAAACCAAATTTAATTAAAATCCATTCATAAATTCCTGAAATATAACAAAAAATATTCTCTTTTTTCAAAATCATAACGCCCTGTATACCGGAAACAAAACTACTTGAGAGAACACCATATAGAGCAAAGTAAATTTATTTTTCAATCGGTATCTATCCTTGTAATTTCAGAATTTTAAGTGAAATCACCCTGTATAGGAGCTTCCGTATTTCAACGTTATTTTATTTAATCTCCTTGCTTTTGAAAACGACTAAAAAAAAGAAGGATATCAGTTGACTGAATGAATGAATCCAGATTAACTTCTTATTTAAAAAAATTCAATATTATTTCTAAAAATCAGTACAGCTTTCAAGAAGGCATATCCACCCAGGATGCAATTGTTCATCTAACAAGAAGCATATATAATTCATTAGATAAACAAAATCCTTCGCTGGCTATTTTCTCTAGCGAAGGCTTTTGATACAATCGACTTCTCAAAACTTTTTATCTCTAGAAGATCTAGGCATACGTGGAGTTAATTTGAAATTATTTCGTACCTATTTACAGGAAATTAATTAATTAATTTAAACAGGATTCAATATGTACGTTTAAATGATACATATAATAATCCAAGTACAATTAAATATTGTGTAAAATGGTGTAACAATATGACTTACTATAAATTTTGAGAAAACATTCTATATTCCGTTTTCATCATATAAAAATAAATTAGCAACATATGTGTTCTGGATATAACGGATGGTAGACAGACCATACATATAAATTCAACTAGTAACTTGAAATATTTAGGAATTTACATCTAAAATGTAATATACATGCCGATTGTGTAGCTAAAAAACTCGGGTCTAATATGTCTGTTCTATAACATAAGAAACATTTTAAATACTGAATATATGAAGATTCTATATAACGCACTTGTAAAACCTCATTTAACTTATGGCATTTTGGGTGGGGCGGTATATTAAACTCTCACGTAGAAGATATTGACATACTTCAAAAAAGATTTTTTATATTATTCTAAATAAAAATATCATGTACCCTTCGGATAAACTATTAGATGAAATAGAAATGTTTGATTTGAGACAAAATTATTTTTATTGTGTATGTATTTATTTATATAAAAATAGGCTATTATTACAGCAACTTGATCACGACTATGGTACAAGATTTAAAACCCAAAGTTATAAAATTGAATTTATGCAAAAAACTATAGACCAGAGGAGTCTTAGCTTTCTGGGACCTACAATTTTTAATTCATTGCCGCTTACAGTTACTTCAATAAAAAATATAATTTACAAGTTTTTCACCGTATTTATATATTACATAGATTTTAATTAATGTGTGCTTGAAAGAACCTGTAATTATTGTTTCAATAAATATCATTATTATTATTATTACTTCGGCGAAAAAGGCCGCGGCAGCGAAAATCTGGAATGTCGAGGCGTTAATCCGAATCGATGCGTCTTTTTAGCAACAAATTACGGCTCCGATCATGCGTGTCCGATTGCATTAAAACCCGTTAAAGACGATCATTAACTCCGGCCCATATAAATACCGCGCAACAGATCGATAGATGTCATTATAAGCGACAATAAAACATTGTTAGCGAATTATCTCCGCGTTATTTCCATGTAATTTACGGATACAAGAAAACTGTAAATAGGATGGCGGGCGATTTTGCCAGATAGGCGGTTATTAACCGTTGAATTAAACGCGATTGGAAATGGCGCGCGGAAAGATTCGAAACGTCGGTATTGATTGCGTCAATTTGCAGTGATACCTGTTACCGATTTATTCCTTCTATTTTGTTTATTTATGCAATTTCGTTGTAGTACAACAAAGTG